ACCCACCGAAGCACCGCCTTAACTTTTTGGGGTCATCAACAACAACAATCGGAAACAACCTGAGCATCAACTGATCTTCACATTTTGCACGCCAAACCCACATTCAAACACATCTTTATCACAAAAGAGGTCATGCACATGACACACCCACTTTTTAGTTTGACTACACGCGTGATTCCGCCTTTCCCTATTTCAATCACTATCTACGACGAACTAGAACCTTGAGCAGCCCAAGTCAACCTAAAATGTCTTCAGCGATGCTGTAAACTGGTCGACGACGAAGCTGACTTCGAATGGGACGACGAAAACTCGACGCTTTCCCACTAACTTCCTATGAACACACAATTTTATTCTGGACACACGTGTCATGCTTTTTTGATGATTCTATTCATTGATCATGCTTCTCATAAAACATTGAATCTTTAAGTAAAGAAGCTTGTAGGATTGATCGATTCGATGTGGATCATACGAATAAACCCTAGCATTCACGAACTTCATTCATAATAGTTAAAAACCGTGCGACATTTACACATAGCAAATTTGAAAAAGCGAGATCGGATCTACTATTTAACTATGCTACAAATCCAGTGACAGCCAAAGAATTTACCAGTTAGTCATACATAGTAGTAGTAAGTAATGTGTACAAAATAGCAATGTATGCAACTACATTCAGAAATCGCTTTTCCACAAATGAATTGAAAAATCAGATTCCAGACCTGAAGATGCGATGATGTTCTGCGTCGGATGACAATCCGTGGCCAGTACAACGTCCTGTTGGCAATCTATCGTCTGTACCACTTCCTTAGTCTGCAGATTCCAGATATAGATCTTCTTGTCTTCAGAGCCCGACACAATCCATTTGCCACCAGTTACGGAGAAATTCGAAAAGATGCAGTACTTCTGATTCACATGTCCGGTATAAGTCTTCAAGCATTTGCCTTTCGTGAAATCCCACAATTTCAGTGTGCTGTCAAGTGTGGAGGCCAGAATGTACTTGCCGTTGGGTGAGAATTTCACGAACGCTACTGGTGGATTGTCATCGTCAACCAACGTCTTTACGCATTGCCCATTCGCTGTTTCCCAGATCCTCACCAGGCCATCATACGAACTCGAACAAAGCAAGGTGCCGTCACGATTGAAAGACACCGCAGAGACAGGATCAGCATGAGCAGGTAAGACCTTCGTGCACAGACCCGTGCGCAGGTCCCAAATTCGAACCGTTTCGTCGAACGATCCCGAGGCTACCATCGTACATTGCGGATTGTAGGCACAGCAAAAGACGTAGTTCGTGTGGCCCTTCAGCGTTTTGATGCACTTCCCAGTCTCTACCTCCCAGATTCGCAACCGTCTTGTGTCATACAGACTCCGCAAGTCAAAAAATAACGAGTGGACCTCCATGCCACTTCGCTTGATAAGACAGTAATCTATGATCGTCCGTTCAACGTCTTTCATCGAGTTTGCACATCCTAACGTAGCCCACACACCGTAATTAATTCCGGCAGATACGCGGACGGCTAATGACTATAAACCACCACAGGCGAAAACTTCACACCGAAGCCAACCGCGTTCGCGGTGGCGCAACTTCAGCCTGCTTCCAGTAGTAAGATTAATTGGCAAGACGCGGGTTGAGAAAGCCGAGGGCTGATCGAGTCTGAGCATACTTGCAGTTGTTTCGTCACGCCACTCCAACTTCGTGCAGCCTGTAGCAGCATGGCATATCGCTGCAATCCATCGCCGCCTTTTGTTCCGCCGAGCATTCGCAGACCATCGACTTCTCATCTCCCTTCGACGGGTGAAATCTCAAGCTTATCGAGTAGCAGCCCTAGAACAATAAAGTGTCAACCCTGCATATGAACAGGTAGCCAACCTTATAGCCGCAATAGCCACTTCAATATGAACTTTTTATTGAGCTTCAGAATGATTTTAAGATTATATTTTACAAATTTTAACAATGCTGAGGATCACTGACGACGTATAAACACAACAAGTATACAGCACAATATCATACAATCACGTTTTCCTTTTCTTCGCTGCTGGTCTCTCGAAGACCGGCCGAACACCAGCTGAAAGCACATAGAATATTAACAGGAATGAGGCATTCAAATGAGCATGAAAGCCGAGCAAAATACTTCCCAAAAAGGTTTTTTAAAAACAAATCCAACCAGCTTTCTTGTTGAAGAATTGTACGTTGAGGTTATTTGCGCTCGCCCATACTCCCTGGTGGTCGGTGGTGTCTTCATTGGTAAGATGTGTATATTTCGTACGTGAAGCTTTTCCGAAGTTTTTCACCTGAACCGTAAAAAATCGTTTTTGGAGAATAGCTGTAAGCTATGTTCCAGTCTGAATGTTTATTATCTCCTTGAATTTTGAGTGTATGCCCAGTCGATACATAAAGCTCACACTCCGCTCCGAGAAATATTGAAAATTCAACAGACCTGCATAACTTTAGGAAGTACGGTCTTATCGAACACATCATCCGCAGTGGCTTCCGCGAAGTTCCGCTTATACACCTCATCCTCTTCGTCGAGGTAGTACGCACCACGATGGTAGTACTTTTGCAAGAACTTGTATTTGCCTTTGACGGCCTGAAGAGAAACGATATCGAAAGCAAAAAGGTAAAAGGAAATCCAGCGATGCGTAATGCTCAGCAATAACGCAACATCAAAAGAAGAAGAAAATCCAGAAGAAATAGAAAGAATTACCTGATTCGTGATAATTCTGGGATTTGCACGCAGATATTTCAAACGCTCTTCCTCTGTCATATTGTGAACACGCTCAAATTCGGCCTTCTCCCTTGCCAACTGTTCACGCTCTTCTCTACAACAAGATTATGAATCGATAGGTACAAATGCAGATAGCAATTCGCATCTTCACTCACCTGTTCCTTTTCAATCGCTTCATCTCTCGTAACTTCCAGGATTCGTATGCAACATTTTCACTTTCATCATCAGTAGGTACGGAACCTAGTTCAATATTTTCCTCTTTCTTACGCTTCTCCATTTCATCTTCCTCGCGTAACACTTGTTGCACCAACTATAAAGGCAAAAGATTCGACAAAACCTTCAAAAATGAATAGGAAACACCAAAATTTCACCCGAATGCTGTCCCTTTTTCGTTCCTCTTTCTTTCTTTCT